AACCAAACCAAACAACAGTGTACCGGAGTTCTAGTCTTGTGAATGATTTGGCCAGAGGTGATTTATTATAAAGTCTTATTGCAGTGGGCAGGAATGATCTCCTGTATCTGTCCTTGTGACAGTGGAGCTGGATGAGTCTGTTGGAGAAAGTGCTCCGCTGTCCCTGCAGTAGGTGGTGGAGAGGGTGGTTTGGGTTATCCAATATGGATATGAGTTACTTCGGTGTCTTCCTCTCCACCACCTTTTCCATTGCGTCCAGTTTGCAGCCAATGATGGGCCGGCCTTGCCTTACCTTGAACAGCACTACAGCTCACCGCCCGTGTAACAGTCTGTCTGACCGGTAATTTAGACAAAATCCGGGAGAATTTAGTCCAACCTGCATAGACTCTGTAAAGACTGCAGGACTTTCACAGATGTGTGACGAGTCACACGATGTGAACTTTAGACCACCCGTCGAGGGGACGGACGAAATGTGGTTGAAGTTCAGAACGTTGGTCCCGCCTCCTCCATCATTCGACCAATCAGAAGTCTGAACAGTCTCACCTGTCAGTAGGCTTCTAACAGGTGCCGCAGTTGCAAGAACAAACACCACGTTTTGTAGAAAATCCTAATTTTTTATCCTAATCCGCAGTTTTCTGTCAACGCCCCCTGCTGCTGCTGCTGCCTGCTGCTCTCGTCCACTTTCCAGGCGAGGCGCAGTTCATCTCGAACGAGCCCATTAACAAACTGCGGTGAAGACGGATAGTCAAATAGAACATTCAATATTTCAGTAAAACTGTTTGATGTAAAATAACAAAGTGCAACAAGGTGGAAACTATACGGAGTATATTTTTAAGTTTTAATTATCACCGTAATTTACAAGGTTTATAAGTGTACTCAGTCATTTTATGATTAAGAGCAATGAATACAACAATGAATTTAGCAGCAAACAAGATGATATAACCACCAAGATGTTTGTAACTCAGTTCAGCACTCATAGAAAAATAATCACTTATGTTGTGTTGTTCATTCTGTGAAACATGACATATATTGCACCTCTGTCCATCCTGGGAGAGGAATCCCTCCTCTGTTGCTCTCCATAAGGTTTCTTCCTCTGTTTGTTTGTTTTTTTTTTTGGGGGGGGGGGGGGGGGGGGGGGGTATTCGCACTTTTTCCTGTGCAAATGCGAGGGTCCTGGGACAGAGGATGTTGTATGTGTACAGATTGCAAATGTATGATTTTGGGCTATACAAAATGAATTTAACTGAAAAGTTTGGGGATGATTATTGGTAGTTTCATTCATTTTCAGTTTTCATTTCATTCCAAGATGAAGGAGTTTCCTGTATGGTCCTGGTCCACCCCACAGGCCCCTGACACAAGACAAATACAGAACATTAATAAATTGTGGTTTGATTATTTACTACCAACTATTAACATGCTGTTAATTAACTTTATACATACCGCAGAAGCCCATGCCAATAGAGGTGAGGCATCACATCAGCTTTCATGTAGTACATAAGTCTTCTTTCTTTGGCTTGGTTGAAGGGAAATGTTTCCAGTGGTTGTCCATTGTAGTCAAACTCTGCAAGAATCACTGTGTTGTAGCTTGTAACCAAGGGACACGAGGTGTAGCCATCATACTGTAAACAAGGAGGTTACTGATTATGTATTTGCATCATTTTCTAAATTCAAAGAGATGAATCAAGATTGATGTTTATGTGTCACTTACTATCTTATCTGGCTTCTCATTTTTCCGTACTTTGCTGATGGTTCTGTTCAAGATAGCAGTCTGTGCAGCTGAGAACGATAAAATACATGGTAAACTTTTATAATACATGTGTAAGTTCTCTTTTTTATCACTAAAGATGTGACCCAAATCCATATTATGTTACAAGATGTCAGGGGGCTGGAGCCCTTCCCAGCACACACTGGGCAAGAGGCAGGGAGGGCACACACAGAACAGGCCACCAGCTTATCACTGAGCTGACAGACACTCACATCCAGGTACAATTTAGAGTTTCCAATTCACCTAACAGGCATGTCTATGGACTGTGGGTCCTGTGGAAAAAAGGGAGACCATGCAAACGTAACATCAGCGGCGTATAACAAAATCTGGGGCTTCATACATTCAATGGGCCTTCATCAACGCCTGTACAGAAAGTCCCCAGTAGATTTGAGCCTAAGATTTTCTTGCTGCGAGCCAACAGTGCTAACCACTAAACAAAGACGCTGCCCTGTCAGGCTTTTACCTAATCAAAAGTGTATCCTCTGTGTGGAAGCCACAATGTTGTCAGACTTGGGGTGCATTCGATTCAATTCCTGTAAAATTGGTGTACAACTTCCCTTGAATTGAGAGGCAAAGTAAATTTAGTCTACAGCATTTTTATATTCTAATCAAGAGAAGTCTGTTAAAGCAACATGTCCTAATGTCGGATTAGATAGCAGTTTGATTTTAAAAAGGTGCCAACACTCAGCCACTAGAGGTCTCACTCTCCTCCCTGTTCCATTGCATCCACTTCACAACAAGTGGTTGCCAGTTCTGGCAAGGATGTACAGTATGTGAGAGTGTGCATATAGCACAGCTATGTTGTGCATCCGGGGTTTGACAGGATTGTTATTTACTGAACCGTCAAACTTAGCCATTTATTTGTTTTTTAACTGACAACACAGAGACACCACCCGATACTAATTATACTATTGGCTCACAATCCTTGTTAGAAGCGGCAACCAAATGTCAAATATCTTCTCCAGAGGGGATCATGACTGTCTGCGCCATCCGTCACAGCTATCGATCAATAACTAACTGCTTGGATGTCTGAGGCAGTTGTGTCATTCGGTGTTTATCATCTATTTTTAGATACATTTCATGACACAGATACTTTAAATCCTGACACTTAAAACAGTATATGGGGTACATCCCAAGTCTCTTGACTGCATCCCCGTTTCCCTCACTTGTGTCCTTTCCTTGTGTCTTAGTCCCTCCCACCAGGGATGCATGGCGGAAGCCATGCGAGAAGAGAGGAACGAGGAAATATGTTTTAAGAGATATGAGACGTCCTGTCCTCTGAAGCGTCACGTGAAGAGACGTCTGTTTCTGATGACGGAGGATCAGCTGATCACAGGTGGATCAGCTGTCAGTCAGCTTTAACAGCTGGAGAGACTTTTGATAAGTTTGTCTGTTCACATGATCAATGTACTTAATAATAGTAACTAATAATACTCAATACTAATAAAGACACACAGTAATCATCACTGTAGAGGTGTTTTCTCTCTGTAGCCTGTTACCTCTTTAACAAACTGTGTTCTGTTTATAAGCGTAGGATCGATTTCTACCGACAGAATGCATTTGACTTATTTATGACTTATTTGCTCTGTACGTTTTGAAATTGTGACTGTGGCGTCATTAATTAACCCAGAATATGATTATGGTTGGCATTTACAGTTGGTCAGAAACAACAATTACAAAACATATAACGTGTGTGTTCTACATGTGGGGTGCGGTTTCTTTGGTGTACATTTTCTGTAATATGATTGCATAACCCCGATGACACATAATCCGTTATTACCAAACCCTGGGTGCAATACACTTACTGAGGAAAGAACTCCCTTCAAATTACAGAAAATCCCAAACAGTTAACAATAAATGTAAGTGCATGAACTGTAAGCATCAATAAGAGTGCATTCTAGAGTTGCGTTGGTGCAATGTTGAAAATAATGACACGGAAATCACTTACCGACAGCCGCACCCGTTTTGGATGTGGGCAGGTTGGTACAGTCTCCAATCCCAAACACGTTTGGATATCTCTTATGTTGGAGGTTGTCTTTGTTGACATCCAACCAGCCAGCCTCATCTGCCAGAAGACTGCCTTTAATCACCAAATTGGGTCCCATTGGTGGTGTGACATGAAGCATTTCATACTGATAAAGAAAAACAAAAAAAGGTTCAGTTATTCACAGGAGTCTCTATTTAGGTGCAAAGAGTGAAATAATGCCCAGTGTATTAGGTTGTTCATAACATAAAAGGCACAACAGACAAAACCTTCTTTTAAGGATTTAAAGAGGAAGTAAATAACATGGCACAGAGTGTAACAGGTTGTCCAGTGAACACAGCAGTCATTAATATATATGTAAAAGCTACTGTTGAGGGACAGCAACACAGTTACCTCAAGCACTTTGGTTTCACCTGGTTTGTCAAGATTTTCAAACACAGCTTCTTGCTTATCTGCTCGCACTTCAATCAGGTTTTGCCTCAGGTTCACTTGTAGGTCTCGTTGTTTCACAATGTCCCACAATGAGTCTGCATATTTCTTGATCCCAAAGAGCACAGGCAGCGATGTATTGTATATGACATTGGCTTTTGCCCTTTTTCCTGTCTTGGATAGAAATATAAAAACATCTTCCTTTACTTTGGAGAACCACATTTCAAAATGTACTAAATCATCATTACATTCCGAAATGCAAGTACTTTTCTGAGATAGGCATCCGCTAGGTACATAATCTTCTGTGGAGCTCCAGCACATTTCACAGGAGTATTTGGGAAAGTGAACACAGCGTTGCCCTCTTTGAAGTCCTGCAGTGCTTTCCACGTTTTCTCCACAGTTTGGACCGAGTAGTTTGACCCAATCTTTGGATGTTCAAATCCTTCAGGCAGTCCTTTGATCTACACACAAGAAGAGTGTCAATTTCATGGAATATAATTCTTTAAAGCGAGATTAAATGGACCTTTATTAATCTAGAGGAAAATTCTTCAATAAAGTAATAAACAAAAAGTGTATAAGAGGTTATACTAACACCAGTACAAAATAGAATAGCAAATATAAGATAGATTTAGGCAAATAAGTAAACTACAATAGAAAAGTAATGCATGTGCATTATATTAAGAGAAATATTGGCAATGATATTGGAAAAAATAATAAAAAGTAATATTGCACATGATATGGGAATGAACAAAGCATTACCTCACCTTCTCAAAATGGATTTGTAAACCAAGAGCCACAATCAAATACTCGTAGGTGATCTGCAATGTGAAAGAAAGTCCAAGTAGGGAAAGATGCACATAGATCATAATCATTTCATAATAAATCTACTTCATATACTCAATGTCGAGTCAGTAAATGACACATTATTCAATATGCACACTGTAAGCAAACAGTTCCCTAAAGCAAACATACTTCATTCCCGTCGTCTGTGCGGACAGTATTTGTGTCTGGGTTTATTTCCTGAACTTTCGATTTCACCCACTTCACTCCAGAGGGCATAACACTCGCAGTAGAACGACCTGATGAGGTTAAAGTTTTTGCACCGGCACCAACCAGGGTCCAAATTGGCTGATAGTAGTGCATCTGTAGAAACAGAAAAGCTGTATGACACATTGGGAAAATACTCTTGTTTCTAAAAATGCAAACAGGAATTCACAGCTGGCTGAATGAAAGCCATCACGTTTCATAATCTGTGGTTTGAGTTGTCTCCTAGTGATACACAAAGAGAGGTAAAGCAAATAATAATCATAATCCACCGGATCCTTACCTCACTGGGCTCCACAACTGCCACATTCTCAGCTCCCATCATCCTCTTCATCCTCGCACTCATCGAAATACCCCCAGTTCCTCCTCCGACAACAAGCATTTTATAGTGCAGTTTGGCAGAGGCACGGCTGCTCGTGTGAAAATGAGAGATGGCAATGCCTGTGGAGTGGCACTGCCTCAGACGACACAGTGCAGCCATTCTGTGTGAGAAACAACAAGGCATTGTGGTTGGCAATAAATTCAGTTATACTGTCTCAGACTCAAATGTACAAATCTGTCAACAACCTGCACTTGTGTGATATTTAGATAGGTAGGCTACTTTATTAATCCCACAAGGGGACATTTTTTCGCTACAGCAGTATTTATGGTACAGAAAGCAATAAAAATAACTTTTTAATTATAAAAAGTAATAATAAATATTAAATAGAAAAATGCACAATATACTGTACACATTGAAATAGAATAAAATTAACTAACTAAACAACAGTGCAAAGATTTAACCAAACCAAACAACAGTGTACCGGAGTTCTAGTCTTGTGAATGATTTGGCCAGAGGTGATTTATTATAAAGTCTTATTGCAGTGGGCAGGAATGATCTCCTGTATCTGTCCTTGTGACAGTGGAGCTGGATGAGTCTGTTGGAGAAAGTGCTCCGCTGTCCCTGCAGTAGGTGGTGGAGAGGGTGGTTTGGGTTATCCAATATGGATATGAGTTACTTCGGTGTCTTCCTCTCCACCACCTTTTCCATTGCGTCCAGTTTGCAGCCAATGATGGGCCGGCCTTGCCTTACCTTGAACAGCACTACAGCTCACCGCCCGTGTAACAGTCTGTCTGACCGGTAATTTAGACAAAATCCGGGAGAATTTAGTCCAACCTGCATAGACTCTGTAAAGACTGCAGGACTTTCACAGATGTGTGACGAGTCACACGATGTGAACTTTAGACCACCCGTCGAGGGGACGGACGAAATGTGGTTGAAGTTCAGAACGTTGGTCCCGCCTCCTCCATCATTCGACCAATCAGAAGTCTGAACAGTCTCACCTGTCAGTAGGCTTCTAACAGGTGCCGCAGTTGCAAGAACAAACACCACGTTTTGTAGAAAATCCTAATTTTTTATCCTAATCCGCAGTTTTCTGTCAACGCCCCCTGCTGCTGCTGCTGCCTGCTGCTCTCGTCCACTTTCCAGGCGAGGCGCAGTTCATCTCGAACGAGCCCATTAACAAACTGCGGTGAAGACGGATAGTCAAATAGAACATTCAATATTTCAGTAAAACTGTTTGATGTAAAATAACAAAGTGCAACAAGGTGGAAACTATACGGAGTATATTTTTAAGTTTTAATTATCACCGTAATTTACAAGGTTTATAAGTGTACTCAGTCATTTTATGATTAAGAGCAATGAATACAACAATGAATTTAGCAGCAAACAAGATGATATAACCACCAAGATGTTTGTAACTCAGTTCAGCACTCATAGAAAAATAATCACTTATGTTGTGTTGTTCATTCTGTGAAACATGACATATATTGCACCTCTGTCCATCCTGGGAGAGGAATCCCTCCTCTGTTGCTCTCCATAAGGTTTCTTCCTCTGTTTGTTTGTTTTTTTTTTTGGGGGGGGGGGGGGGGGGGGGGG